TAATTATAACCCTTATATATATATATATATATATATATATATATGTGCGCAATATTTGATTCATGATTAGTATCAAATGATTGATCCACTACAAATACAAATATACCCTTCACTCTCAGGTTGGCAAGTTTTATTTCCCTTCATATATCATTTGAATCATGATACAATAAAATATTGAACAAAAATGTGCCAGCTAATTTAGTGAATAATTTAAACCCTATGATCAGTTGAATCTTGATTTCATCAGTATTATACAGTTGTCTTAATGATCATAGTTATGTTAAAGCAGACACATATACCCACTAAATTCACGGAGATGAATCATGAATATGATAATTCAACCATATATAAAACTTGATGTATTCAACATTATATTATTCACAAGGAAGAGAAATTATAGGTACAATTGGCATTATATCTATAAAATAGATACAAATATCTGAGTTTAACTATCAAAATGGATATAGATACCTTTTGGTCTATAGTTTTGGGTATCCTTTCAGCTCAGTTTTCTCTCAATTATTTTGCATGATAGCTATGCAAACTAAAATTTATTATGCATGAAAATGAAAAGAAATTTGGAAACAAGAGGAAGTCAAAATGTCATAACGTCATGATAAGTTAGCATTGATTGTTCAAACGCAAAACACAATGGCCGCAAATCAAGTGTTGATTCACGGATTATCATGTCTTTGATAAATAATTTAATAATTCGTCAAAGATATAACACATTCATACTTTTTTTTAAAAATATGTTTTTATCCTTTAAAAATTGACTCTACTTAGTATTAATTCTCAAAAAAAAAAAATTTCTTAATTTTAGTCATCTAAATTTATATAATATCTATTTTTAATTAATTTTTAAACACCATTAATTTTTCTTATTAAAATAGGTCACCCCATTACTTAAAGTATCATCAGTTTTATTAACATGAAAAATTTTAATTTAAAATATTAATTATTTTAAGATTAAGTTAAGTTTTAGGATAAAAATTAATTTTACATTTAAAAATTTTCAACTATTCATTCTTGAACCCAAACATGAGGTTCTAGTAGTGATTTATTTTATTTTTTGTGTTTCTATTTAGCTTTCACCCTTAGTGTTGTTTAAGATAATTTGCATGTTGAAAGTTTTGAGAGTTGCAGAAGGTGAAAAAGTATCATCGAAAATCAAAATTTTGAAATTTAATTGGGAGACTCTTTGTTTAAGTAAAAAAAGAATTAATAAAAAATATATACCTACGTTTTAGAGTAAATAGTAGAAAATTTTAAGTGTAAAATTAATCTTTATCCTAAAATTTAACTTAACCCTAAAATAATTAACATTTTAGATTAAGAAAATTTATATCACTAAAACTAATAATAATTTAGATACTGAGATGACCTAATTTAATAACAACAGTTAATCGTGTTTAAAAAAGAATTAAAAATAAATATTATATAAATTTAAATGACTAGAATCAAGAAAAATATTTTTGAGAGACTAAAATTAAATAAAAAAATTTAGAAGACCAAAAACATATCTAATCCATTTTAATTTTTTTTTCTTCTCAGATATCCCAATCTGTGACAAATATAAATTAACTTTTATCATTGACTCGAAAGATTTTTATTCGTAACGAAAATTAGATGAGATTCATTCTTTATTAAATAAATTAAATCGTCTTGTGAAACATAGAGTCTAATTACTACCGATATAACACATTCATATGCTAACAACAAACCCAAACTTTATATACTGCTAGCTCAAAAGTTATTTTTTAAGATATTAAGATTAAGTTCCCCTGAAAAAAGAGTTATTAAGATTAAGTTGCTTGTTTCATTACGATTGTAGGTATGGTCTTTATTTATCCCTTTTTGCATTAAAATAAACAGAAGCCTTTTTGATTAGATTGAGGAATTCTCTAGAACATATATACGTACATGGAGGAAGAGATTGATGATCATGAGCGTATATTTTGTATTTTATTATATTCTTTCATATCATATGTATCTATTTGTCTATTATAGAATTCACTATGATTCTTGTTTTCTATTCTTTTTTAAATTTATAATATGACGATTATTTATATTTAAACTTGTATGCAAATCTAGAATACAGATTCCCATAGTACTAAAAAAAATACAGATTGAGCAATATGCCAAAGCCAACTTAAATTGAATAAATAAAAAATATTAGTTATCCAATACAACTCACTTTCTGTTCAAAAATATGGAAATTATACTTCGTAAAGATATTTCCCGCTGTAATCTTGTAGTAGTAGCCATAGCCATGAAAGTGAAACTAAAACATGATTGAACCAAATGTCGGAACGTGTGTGAATTTAATAACCTACACATAGACGACACTTGTGCGATGAAACGAAAATTTAAGATTCCTATGAATGATAAACAAGATGACTAGTTATAGATGCTGTCTAGCTAGGTGTATCATTATCCGCAGGATTGCTGAATTATGACAAATAAACAAAAACCAAAAGCCAAGCAATCATTTACTAAAGTCTGCGTAACTCTTGCAATATAATGGTGTTTGTGGGTCCTTTCCAACAACTCTCTTCGTTTGTGTAAGGTTCAAAGCTTAACACATGTATAGCATGAAACCTTAAAATGATCAACAAGTGGCAAAACCTCCTTCAGCAGCCACGGGTTTAATTTGGGCCCCATTTGATTTGATCATTTTTAATTACCATGTAGGGCAAATACCTTTGTTTTGCTTGATGAGTTTAAATATAGTTACATCCAACACCATGATGGTGACATTAGATTGTGTGGCACAGATCTCAAAATTTTACTCCAAAAAAAAAAAAAATTGTAAAATAAAGGTTCCTTAATGAAGCATGTGATTTAGTGGTTATATGACATATAAAGGATCAATCTAGTGTTTTTAGAATTGTTTTTTATTAATGTTAAAATCCTTGAATTTGTTGCTCGAATGCTTAAAATGCTTTCCATACTTGTGCTTAGGTGCTGGTTTTGAAAATCACTGGATCCTTATTAATTTATTTAATTACGACCATGTTAGGCAACAAAAATTCGTGGGATACTACATTGGAAAAAAGCGTTGTCGTTTTAGAATTGGTTAATTATCTCTTTCTTGCGTGATCAAATCATCTTAAAGATTGTGCTTAATTATAAAACCTTGTTTAATAGAATTTTGTAGTAACTAGAGGAACACACCAAAGACAGACAGATAAAGATGGGGTTTCGTATGTTTCATTGATGTTTAATCTACTATATCACCGGAAAGGAGGTCGTGATTTTGGGTTTGTCTGAATGATGGACTTCTGTTCAAGTTCATTAACATATGCTTTTTTAAATTAAAAAAATGTAAAATTAATAAAAATAAATAATAAATTTGGTTAGATTTCATTCATAAAAAACTTTTAATGATTTAATCATTAAATTAAAAGTTCTTAATACATAAATTTAGTCTGCAAATTAAAAAAAAATCATTTGATACTTTGTTATATAAATTTAAATCAAAATATAAAATGCTTTTATAGTTATCTATTAATTTGAATTAATAAAACAAAATATCATATGATTTTTAATTTTTTTTAAAAAAATTTGTAAACTTGATTTATATATTAATAAATTTTAATTTAACAGTTAAATCATTTAAATTTGATATAAAATGTGAGTTATTGAGTGAGGTAATTTTACCAAGATTTACTCTTATGGGGTGTTTGGTAGCTATTTAAAAAAAATTCTCAAAAATATAATTTTTGGAAACTATTTTTATCCCAATTTTCCATGAAAACATTCTTGAGTCTCTTGATGATATTATTCTTTATTATCATTCCAATAAAGGTCACGTGGCCCACATCTAGTTTTTCCCAAGATTTCAATAGAGTTTTTCTCTCTATCACTTGCTTGATAACCAATATCATTTTTTGATAGCGTATATGATTTATTCTCCTAAAGTAAGAATGTACAGTAATAACTTTTAAATATCAATATCTTTTATCTAGGCTATTTTCTAGCATATCTTATGTTTTATAGTCTTGTTTTTGTCAAAAATTAGTATTCAAATTTTGTCTAGTTAATTAGTAGAGTTCTTTTAATTTTTCATTGGTTAATTTTTGAGATACAAGGAGAAAGAACTAAATATAACATATATTATGCTTTAAAGTTCAACTTTTGTCCAAAAAAAAATAACATTTTTATTTTGTTCGGTTAATTAGTAGAGTTCTTTTAGTTTTAGATTTTTTTTTTAAATTTTTGAGATATAAAGAGGAAGAAGTCAATAATGTTTGATTTCTGTTGGATTATTTCTCTTATCCTTTAATTTCTCTTATAATATAAAGATTTGTGATTGGGTTGCGCAACAAAGTGTTGTGTTTGATCTTTGTTGGATTAAGGTACGTGCAATTCATTTGTTGAATAAAATAGTCATCGGTTTGAGTTGTTTGTTTTCTAGTGTTTTGTGTGTGTATTGATATGGTTTATAATTATTTGTAGGAAGATACACAAATTCTCACTGCTTCTGGTGATCAAACTATAATTAATTGTGTTATGTATAAGTTGAACTGTTGTTGATTACTAGCTTAGGATTGCGTTACAGAACTTGTTGATAAGATTTAGATGGAATTAGGAATTATGATATTGATTTTATTATTATTGAGTTTGAATTGAATATGGATTTTGAGTTTTGTAATTGAATATGTTGTTTTACTAGTAGGTTTTCTTTGAAATTTTTTTTTCTACAAATTAATGTTCTTATGGTGTATTTTTATTTTTTACAAATAAATTTAATTATGGGATGTTGAAGAACGGAAGTGTCTTGGAGTTTTGACAAGGCACACAAGAAGTTTGAAATCTTCGTGTTCTCATCCAAAATAGTGATATGTTTTTGTTTTACTTGCATTTCTGCATAGCTATGGATTTTTCTACAACAGAAAGTGAAGAGTGATGTATTATTTGTAATATTTGTCTTTTATCCAATTTATTATGATATTATTGTCTATGGTTCAAGAGATGGATCCTACCGTAGTTGGAACTTGATGCAAGTCCACTGCTAGGAGTAACATACGGTATAAGTGACAATATTTTCTTATTCGCAAAACTCCTGTTTTCTTGATTTGTTAATCATTAGTTTGTATTGATTCTTTAAAAATATTTTTTTATCATTTGTTTACCTTTCTAGTTCAATGAGTGAGCACACATTTCATCTCAGATAAAACAAAGTTCGAGGGAAATGTTAGTTTCCGATGTATTAGTGTTCCCCACATCCTACAAATTAAATTGTCTAACATTTCCTATTTTTCAGGTTGCTTCCATTACATCTTTTCTTTGTCTCAACAACCAAGTTTCCATCGCTACTATTGCGGTAGTGGATAGATTAGTTGGAAACAGTACATTTCAATATAAACATATGATTTTCCAATGTTTTTACTTGTATTAATATATTTTTCTAAGCAATTGGTTTATGTTAGAGTGTCGAAGCTTTGGGATTTCATAATTTTTATAAATATTGTCACTCAGATATGTCCTTGTCCTCAGTCAATTGAAAAGGTTGGTTGGAACTGTGATGTAAAGAGATAGTATGTTTCTTTATTCATTCAGGAAGTTGTTAATATAGTGTTGAATAAATTAGATCATGATTGTGTGTTTAGTAAAAGGTTATATAATCAACTTATGATTTCAAGTACAATATATAGGGTACTATAGTATTCTTATTTGAAGTCATGTATAGTGTACTACAATACATGATTAGAAATCACAAAGAGATTTAAAGAGAGTTTATTTTATACGTATAAGTGTAAAAAAAATTATGTTGTAAACTAATTAGAAACAATCCTTGATATAACTTTTAAAGTAATTATTACAAATCAAAGTTCTTTAGTTCATAATGATAAATAATATTATTAATTCTCTTTTTTCATAATTATAACAAAATTCAATTTTCATTAAAATAAAATAAGTTCTCTTATTAAATAGATAATAATTCTTTATTATAATTTTAATTAATTTGAGGTGAGGTAAATATTTTAAAAAATTATAAATAGTTTGTTTAAAATAAACATTGGTGACAATTTCTTATTTTTTAAAATATATTTTCATCGTCCCATGGTGACTTTAACCGTTATATATGGTGATTCCATTGAAACTTTCAAGAGTCAAGCATTTTCAAAATTAATTAAGTAAATTATTTGTATCTTTTGATTTGTTTATCTCACTTTTTTGTTTTCTCTTTTTTTTTTGTCTATTTTTGTTGTATATAGTTTATTTCATTAACGTATTATTCTTTGTGTTTTGTAAATATATTTTGCATATATTTAAATCATAAGATAGATGACCTATTGTTATATATGTATTATTCATTTTGCAAGTTGGACGATTAGAAATTGCTCCTTTCACACACTTCATTTACATGTTTTTTCACATTTTCATGAGCGAAATCATATACCCGAACCTAAATGCAACTTAGGATAGAAAGAGATTGAGTAGTGATAACTTTCTCGATATACATATTGTTTGATTATCACAAAGACCTCACCTAGAATTTGGTTTTTTCTTGATGATATTATCACTTATAATAATTTACTTATTTTTGCGTTTAATATTTTGAGGTAAAACCTTTGGCTATAGAAACCTATCTTAGGATCCCAAAACTACTTAGAGGGAGGAACACATTAATGGCCACAGAACCGTCAACTTTAGGAAAATCCTTGTAAGTCATAAATGGAGAAGTGTCTTATCTTTGCATTCAAAAATAACATGTGCATTAAAAAAAGAAAATATATACATATTTTTTTCATATTGCTCATCATTTTTCTTCTTTTACTTTTATCATATCTCGTGTTTCTTTTTAAATTAAATAATACTCACAAAAAATATCTATTCATACATGCATTCATTTGAATTTTAAAATTCATTCATAATATGCATAAAAATAGCATTATGAGATATCATCCATACACTGATTAAAACTTGTAAGTATCATCATTCATTAAAATTTTCGTTACTTTCGTTTCTTAAAGGAGATGAAAAAAAAATTCTTTTTCTTTTTCATAATTCAAGTTAGGATTATCATTCCCCTTAAGCATTTAGTCTAAAAATACATCTCATAACATTTAATACTTTTACAATTTTACATGATATTCACGCATTAAAAAAAATAAGCATCATTTAAATTGAACAATATCATTACATTAAACATATTCATTCTTATAATAACTCTTTATTCAAACATACTCGATCATCATTTTTTTAATTGGGTATTCTTACCTTTTAAAGTTTTTGTAATTAAGTTTTTGAATTTTGTTATGGTTCTACTAACTTTTGAATCTCAATTACAAATATTATAAAAGATTAAGATCTAATTATAAATCTTTTCAGGAATTTAATTAAAAATTCTCAAAAATATTTAAAAACTTACTAATATGGTAAAACAATTTGAAATTCGTAAGATTATTATAAGATGGCCCTATATGCATCTTTGACTAATTGATATTTTTAGTGAAATAGTTGCTTTTTAGTTGAAAATTTTATATCAAAATAAACAAAATTAAACACATTTTTACCATTAAATGATAGTCTTTATTAGAAAACTTGAGTGATCATTTTTAATAATTTGTTTTACTAAAACCTTATTTAAGAAAAATAAATTTAATTATACTCAAACTAATTATTTATAGCGTATTTGTTTTAACAAGAATATGAATTCCAAAGTTCCATTCAACAGAAAAACTATCTCACATAGTTTTTTCATTTAATGGAGTGTCCGGACGTGACAACAAAACAAAACATGCCTTCAGTGTATGTTTATTGTATTGATAAGACACAATTCTAAGTAATTAAATGAAGAAGTATGTGAAAATAAGTTTCTAAATGAATGTAGGTTTTCTTCTCCAAACTAAAAATCCAACACATTGTGTGATTGTACCTAATTTCTCAAGCATTATACGAGTATTTTATAAGTTAAACATAATTATTGGAAGAAAAAAAGTCATTATGAAAATATTTGTTTATAATAGAATGTTCAATATATAATATTTAATAATTTATGAAGTACGTTAATAAGATATTAAATAAAAAAATTAAAAAAAAATTAAAAAAAAAAAAAACAGTATCACTTTATTCATGTGATACAAATGGTCCCCTTTAACATCATCACATATGTTAAAAATTGGATGGTGAAACTGAAATTACCCATTTATCAATCATGGAGACCAAAATTATCCACCTACTAAATTAGGAAAAAAGTGTAACTAAATCCAAATAAAATTGATAAATTACGTACCGTAGAACAAGGAAGACAGTAATTGATAATAGTACTGAGGAAAGGGTAAAGAATAGCAGTTGATGAAGTTTTTTTTGACGTGGGTACTTCAAAAACTGAAAAAGCTTGGATTGCATAAGTTGATGGATTGAAGAGAGAAAGAATGTAGGTGTAGATCTGAGTTGATGATCCCTCCTTTTACTTTACCTTTGTTGCAGGCGCACAAAGTCATGTCTTTTCAATGCTATGCATTTATCTGCATTAACCAACCATTAAACTGTTCTGGAAATGTATATTACCTTTTATAGTAATCCATTTGTCTTTCCCTTTTCCATGCAAACTAACACTGTCATACTCACAATTGCAAATTTGGGAACCCAAAGGCTGACACAAAAATGAGATGCTTAAGGTCCCCTTTACATTCTTCTCCTTTGCCATCAACTCTATTCAAGAAACCTTATATAGAGAAAGTGGATCTTGTCCTTTTCATTTTCCTCCAAGCCACCACTCTTTGCAACTCCATTTTGTTACTTTGTCTTAGATTGAGCTTCAAGTAGTACTAGTAGTCTCACTCTCTCACACACATTGTCTCAAATGGCCTCTCTCTCTCTTCTCCTTGTTGGTTTCCTTTTGTTTTCTTGTGAAATGATAGGAATGAGGAGCAATGCACATGGGGAAGAAATGGAAATGGAAGAAGAGGAGTTATTGGGGTTGTTTGAAGTGATGGAAGCTCTTGTTGATGACCCTGACTGGGCCCAAGCACACCCTCAACCATGCACTGACACACCATGGCCTGGAGTTGAGTGTGAAGTTAGCGATGAGACACCAATCTTTCATGTCACAAAGATCCACATTGGTCCCGATATACTCTCCCCACCTTGCAAATCCTCTTCATACCTATCTCACTCCTTGCTCAAACTCACTTATTTGAAAACACTTTCAATTTTCAACTGTTTTGTTGCTTCACCAATCACTCTACCCTCAACTCTCTTTGGTCCTTTCTCCACCTTGGAACACCTTGCTTTGCAGTCTAATCCATCACTCTCTGGAGAAATACCTCCAAGTTTGGGAAGTGCTACTAGTCTTAGAGTTCTTAGCCTTTCCCAGAACAACTTCCAGGGAAACATTCCAAGGCAAATTGGTGGTTTGGTGAGTTTGGAGCAACTTGACCTGAGTTATAATAACTTCAGTGGTCAAATCCCCAAGGAAATTGGAGATTTGAAAAGTATTGCCATTTTGGACCTAAGTTGGAATGAAATTGAAGGGAACTTGCCTTGTTCTATTGGACAACTTCAACTTCTTCAGAAGATGGATTTGAGCTCAAACAGGCTAAATGGAAAAATACCTCCTGATTTAGGAAACCTCAAGAGGTTAGTCTTGCTTGATTTGAGTCATAATTTCATTGGTGGACCTATTCCGGAAACCTTGTCAAATTTAGAGCTTTTAGAATATTTTCTCATTGATGACAACCCCATCAAATCAGAGATACCCCACTTCATAGGGAACCTTTGCAAGCTGAAGTCAATGAGCTTCTCAGGTTGTGGGTTGATTGGCTCCATACCCAATTCTTTCTCATCCTTGAAGAACCTTACAGCTCTCTCCCTAGACAACAATAGCCTCAGTGGATCAGTTCCTCCAAATCTTGGCTTGCTCCAAAACTTAGACCAACTTAACATCAGCCACAACATGCTGAATGGAGTTCTTCAGCTCCCTGATGAGTTCATTGGAAAACTTGGTAAAAGGTTGGATGTGAGAGGAAACACTGAACTTTGCATCAGTGATCAGCCAAACAAGAAGAACGTGTCTTCATATTTGGAAATCCCCTATTGTGCAAACATGAAACCAAAAAGTGGCAAATCTTTTGCTGAAGAACCACCAGAAGATCCAGCAGGAATCAAGCCATCTTTGTACCAGAGCAACATAAGTTCAAGCTCATCATGGCTGGATTTACAACTCATCCTGCTTACCTTGGGAGCAAGTTTCTATTTTTGCTGATTAGTCCCTTATCATGGTTGGATCTACAAGTCATCCTGTTTACCTTGGTTTTAAATTTTACCCTTTCTTTCCTAAATTTGTTTTTGTGACACTTGGAATGTATTTTATAAATATCTTTACTCGTATATTATCTACATTAAACTGCATTCATAGACATAGTCGTATAATAGGTATTGTTCTACTGTTCTTGTTGGTGATGTGATGTCCATGGAAATTACATTATTCACATAAAAAAATGCATGCAGTTTTAACTTTTTAAGTAATGCTTATTAGCGGCTTCATTGAATAGGTGTGCTTGCATATGCATGAAATGGTGAAAGTAAGAGATTCACGTTTGGACTTTTGTGTTTGATTTTTTGTATTTTTTGGGAAAAGCTACCTCTTAACTCCCAAGTCCTACCCTCCGAGTGTTGTTGTCTGTAGCAGCCTTTAGAAAGAGTGGTAGGAACACAGTACTTACTGTCGGTGTCTGGTATAAATGAGCATGCTGCAACCACCCTTGTTACTATGCCAACATAAAAATTTAAAATAAAATAAAAAAAAAATAAAAAAAAGATGCACACCTCAGAACTCGTTTTGGCAGAGAGGGAGACACAGAGAATCTTGTAAGAAATTCCCAATCTTTACCTGCAACTTGCAAAGTTTTAACACAACACAGGAAAAAATAAAAAAGAAAAAGTGAATGCACCGTTTCTCCTTGTTCTCACTTCTCATCCATCACCTATTTATGTGTTCTGCAGGGTTGTTTTATATAATGGTGTAAATTAATTTATAGTTTACGCTAGATTTTTATTATTATATTATTTCATATGTAGTTATGTGTCACACGAAATGGCAATTTGAGATATGAAACAATCAATTGAAAATTTGTGGCAATGAAATTAGTAAAAAGGTAATCTTACAAATTGGTATTTCAATCTCTATATTTTTGGGTCAACTCTGCCATCTCCTATGTGTAGTATGTAACTCGTTCTAAGAGGCCCTAGATGATGTGTTGGCCTATTATTCAAAAGCTACCAAGGCACAACTAAATGAATGTTTGCCAGTACCATGAGAGGAATGGAGTTGTCAATGTCATCCTTGTACGCATGCAAGTTTTGTCTGTACCTAGATGGCTATTATGGGGTGCTACGCCTTTGGATTTATCAGCAACGGGACACAAATCTTTTTCACCTCTTTTTATTTGTTTTTAATTCAGTTCATGTAAAGCATGTTGTTCAACAGTAGGAATTGATCCACGCTTAAGTAAGGTCAGAGATTTGAATCTTGTATTGTGTATACAGTCGCGTTAAATTTTCGGGCCAACTATCCCACCCTTTGAGGTATCTCCAATCTAACAAGAAAACTTTTTGAGATGCCTCCAACCTATCAAGAAAATTAGTCACGGCTAAAAAAAAACTCAATCCATTATATTTAGATACGTTTAATGTGTAATTTTGTTTAAATTATATTTTTTTCTTTTTTGACAAAAAAGCAACAAAATTGTTATGGACCTTTTAAAAAATATTTAATTTTCAATTACTTTATAAATTAAAAAATTCTTTAAAAAAGACCAACGAGGTGGGCCTTTAATTAGTTTATGCTTAGCTTTCATTAATTTTTAAGGAATTTAGAAAAAAAATATTTTGATAAGCTTTTCCCTTATGGTATGTTTGGTAAAGAGAAAGTAGCATAGAAAAGGAAGGAAAACGTGAGAAAATTGAAAGTTTGAATATGTTTGATAAGAGAAAATCGAAAGGAATTACAATTTTTTGTGGATCTATTTTAAAAAATCTTCTCTTAAAAAATAAAAAATGTGTGAAATTTGATTTCAGTTATGTTAGTCCCTCTTTTTTTTTTTAAGTACTTTTGAGTTATCTTTATCTTGATTTATATAAATATTAATTTCACTCTATTTTTCATATAATTTTATTCTATTAAATAACTACAAATTATATTTTATTTTTTTATCAAATTAATTGTTATATATTCTCTCTCTTCCAAACAAAGCATCAGTAGTTTCTTTTAATAAAGTTTTAATTATAAACTATATTGGACAAGGAAAAGTTGTAGGTATATTGTATATACGGTAAAAATTTCACTTTAGTTTAAAGTAAATATGTTTTCTGCAAGTATGATAATAGTACTTGTTCTTGTAATCAATTACAAGTACAGTTTTGTTCTTTACAGTATTCAGTAGAGCATACTGCTGTCATCGTTTTACTTAAAGTAATATAAAAAATTAATGACATTAATTATCAGTAAAAAAACTAACTCCACTTTGTAGATTAAAATGTTCTAGTAATGAGATAACTGGAATAGATATGTACATTTTTAATATATATGTTCTACTATAAATTAATTCAGTAACAAACACGAACTATTTTACTTGGTCGATTGAATTCGTATTCCGCAATACTTGGTCAAAAACAGATAGAAGCTTTGAAAGCATCTTAAATTCAAATTAGCTGGTTTTTATGGGCCGTTGATGGATATGAATATGGACTCTTCATCTATTAAAAAAAATGTATATGGACTTGTATGGATATTAGTTTTTTTTTTTTTTTTTGTGTGTGATTGTGTGTAATCAACTATTGTAGATAAGAATGGCAATAGAGTGGGATGAGTACAAGTTTTATTATCTTATTGTCTTCTTTCTTGTTATTATATTCTATACTCATTTTCGTCTCTATATTCAATGGGTATAAAATTTGTATTGTTTTCTCTATTCTCGTTAGATATTGAATATACTCATACTCATCTCGTACTTGTCCAAAAGTTAGTTAAATTTTTTGTAAAAAATATTAGAAAAATAAGAATTTCAACTTGACATAAAATTAAAAATAGAATAAAAATTATATAAATATAAAGTAAATTTTAAAACAATAAATTAAATTTTTAAATATTTAAAACGAATATAAATATCGATACAAAACAAGTAAGTATATACCTATTTCATCCTCATATCCGATTTAATAAATCAAATATTACTTACTCATATTTATATTCAATCAAATCAAATAATTTTAATTAAAATTGAAACAAGTATTATTTATGAATACAAATTTTCTTCCGGTGAAAGTTAGGAGTGACGTGGATGATGGGCTTGAACTTTTAATTTGAAATATGTCCTTTCTCAGCAATCTTTTTGGATCAATTCTCAATTTATGAATTATCGTTCACGCTGCAATAGTTAAATCACGAAAACAAAAAATAAATATTAAGAAATTAAGTTTAAAACAAAAGATATTGATGATAAATACTTTTTTTTTAAAGTCGATATATTAGAATGTTAATATTTTCAAGAAAATTACTGAAAACCTTTTGTAAAATTTGGTAATTTAAAGTAATGATAGATTAGTTTATTAAATTGGTTATAAATGCCACGCATCAAAAGGATTCCAGTAAAGTGCGGATTGGCGTGAAAATTTCATTTGGCAATAGAACGATATACTTGAAAGATAACTTTTATGTGACATTTATCTCATTATCTGTTATGTATATACTAAAATTAAACTTGTACCCTTTTGGCTAGTTACTAGAAAGTAAGTTTCGGCTGGCCTAAACATTGCTTAATTTAGAGGATGTTTCGACTTAATTTATATGCTTTTTAAAATTTGAAGTTAGTAGATAAGTATATCTTCCTAATTATTTGTCAAGCGAGTTAGGTTGAGATGGGTCAATTGAAATATCGCTTAATTTAGAGGGTGTTTTGACTTAATCCTTATATTTTTTAGGTTTGAAATTGATGAATAAGTGTATTCTCTCGACTATTTATTGAGAGGGTTAAACCTAAAATTGACCGATCGAGAATACATGATTGAATAAGTTAGTTCTAAGGACGAGACAAAATAAATCCAACACAAATATCTGACATAAAATCTCACCTTTAATGACCACGATCACACATCAAAATAGAATACCCAATAATAGGTGAAAATCCTACAAAATCCCATATTTCTTAGCACCTATAAAGATACAATAGGTAGGTATAAAATTCAGCTTCTAGGACAAATATAGGTAGGATAAACTTGTTGCATTGTAACATAGTTTGTGATTGTTTATTTAATTTTATTAATTAAATAAATATTTTTTTATTTTTTATTTAATTTTATTAATTAAATAAATATTTTTTTATTTTTTATTTAATTTTATTAATTAAATAAATATTTTTTTATTTTTTATTTAATTTTATTAATTAAATAAATATTTTTTTATTTTTTATTTAATTTTATTAATTAAATAAATATTTTTTTATTTTTTATTTAATTTTATTAATTAAATAAATATTTTTTTATTTTTTATTTAATTTTATTAATTAAATAAATATTTTTTTATTTTTTATTTAATTTTATTAATTAAATAAATATTTTTTTATTTTTTATTTAATTTTATTAATTAAATAAATATTTTTTTATTTTTTATTTAATTTTATTAATTAAATAAATATTTGTTGATGTGTTGTTTAGTATTTAATTTTAAAATTCTAAGGATTGAGAAATTCTTATAAGTTTAGTATTTTAGGGATTGTTTGGTGTTGAGGTCAAAGTTGGCCAAGTTTAGGGGAAGGTATATAAAGTTTTCTTAAGATTTAAACTTCATAAGTTTATTTCTTCAAAAATCTAGAAAGAGGTTTGAAAGAAATAGGCTCTAGAGAAAAATGAGAATATTCTTCCTTTTTACTTCATAAAAACACTTTGATCCTTTTCGGAGCTTAGATTGTAGCTAATAAGTTGTGGTTTGGAGTTGAGGATTGAGAATCAGAGATTTGTAGTTGTCGTATAACGAGTGCCTGAGGGGTTGTGTTCTCTATTGTTTTTCCTCCTTTTTTTCTTATTTGGAAGATTCGAGGTAAGGAAAACTTATAAATTATTCTTTATTATGTTGCATGTAAAGATTGGTATTCTTGGTATTTTATGTTCTTGGTAGAATGAAAAAGAAATTAATGATCTTACTTCCTTGAGTGGTTGCATGTTGCTTAAATTGATGAATTTGAGCTTATTAACATGTATGTATGTTGAATTTTGGGTTTTTCTGGTGATTTGTGGGTAGATGGAGGTTTGGGAAACCTAAATTGCGATTTTACAAAGTGTAGAAATCGCCATCGCACTAAGCGCAACATCATGAGGCCAAGTGAGAATGCATTAAAGGCTTTGTCACATTTTTTTCCAGGCATGGGATGAATAGCATCAGGCGCAAGTGAGCCAAAGACTCTCTGTCTCATTTTCATCAGACGTGGGATAAGTGGCATCGGGAGTGAGTGAGCCAAAGGCTCTATGTCTCATTTTCGTTAGGCGTGGGATAAGTGACGTTGGGTGTGAGTAAGCT